TGCCAGTTATCAGCACCAGAAGATTCTAGATGAGAAGCAAAGATGAGTCAGCACAGAAAGTTGATAAGTAGAGAAATGCAATGTCGTATCTGGTACTAGCACTCTTGGGTGTTTAACGGTAGGGAGCACTTACTACACTTATTATGGTAACATGTCTCCAGCATAGGGAGCCTAGGGAGCACTTACTACACTTATTATGGTAACATGTCTCCAGCATAGGGAGCCTAAAGCCTGGTTTATGCTTCTCCGTCAGCTCTGCAAGGAACAGACACGCACGGATTGACGGAAGCGTTTTGCTCTTTTACTTCTCCGTCTCCTGGAGAGCGTTGCAAAGCAATTGCCTGGCAGGACAACAGAGGGCGTAGCGCTGTTCTGAGGTATCATATCATGTATCGGTCGAAGATCGGTTGTTTATATTGTGTTTTTTGTGTATATAAGAGACTTTTAACACGGACATATTTGTCTCTCATTCTCCCACCGCTTCATGCGCTCCCCACCTCTAAACCCACGTTTCCTGTCATTTCCGTCCACAAATAAAACGCTTGCTGTGCATCTTTTCACCCCTCCAGTCACGGGAGAATGAAACGTTCATATTTTTAGAGTTTTTTCACGAGGTATTCTTCAAGCTTCTCCGTGTCTGCGGCTAGTTAAACTCGGCTCTCTTTGCAATGGCGGCGCTGTAAACAACAGCGGCGTCCTGACCAATCACAAGCTTGCGTAATCCGTCTCGTTCGACAGATGTTTAAAAAAGTGGGCTCGACTCCGTACGTACTTGCGTGCCTGCCGGATCCCTACGCAAGGACGGATAATGGCATTGCGTGTGCTCCGCACTGACGCAGACAGAGAAGCATAAATCAGGCTTTAGTCACTTCCGCAGCATGAGTCCCCAGAAGAACGAAAAAAATGAATGCAAGTCAACGGCGCTAAAAACGCTATTTTCTAACTCCGCTTGTTTTGTGCCATGGATTTCACATATGATGTCCGTGAATTTTTAAGACGCATTTTGATACCAAGAACGCGCTTATTTTCGAACGGGGGGGACGATATTTTAGGTTCTGTGTGAAAATAAGTCCAGGACTACAAATGTGCTTCACAAAAGTGACGCCATCGAACCAGACACGGAGAAAACTGAGGGACAAGGGCTGTAAGTTCAGCAAACTTCCCACAGGAGGAAAGAACCACCATAAATCTGGTCATGTGCTAAGTAGCAGCTACGTTGTGGAGAGGAGATAATGTGGTGACGTCACATGTGTCGTGCCGATTTCTAGTTTGTAGTCATGCTGATTACAAACTTTTACAAGCTAATAAATCTCAAAGTACGTGACCGGCATGGAAACACACATCAATACTTTTCATTTAAATTGCAGTACAACATATGTGCAATCCAGGGCGTAAGGTAAAGTGGATTAGAAAACGTTTTTAGCCCCGATGACTTGCATTCATTTTTTCGTTCTTCCGGGGACCCGTGATGCAGAAATGACTTAGGCTCCCTATAGAGGAGGTGTTGGTCTTACTGTCTTGCTGTTAGCTTGCTGTTTTAGCTCTGAACAACTCATTAAATAAAGTAAAACGCCATGACTGGCTCATTATTCACTTTACACTTACATTTCACTGTAACATCAAGGTATTGGTAATTGAAAAAGTAGCTTGAGATGTTTATATAGCCGACTATTATGTAACATTAGCATCTAGCCATCTATACCCGATATTAGAGAAAAACTAAAAGACGCTGTGGCTTCTTAGGAGTGCAGGAAATAACTTATGGGTCACTCCTGTCACTGGCTTTGATTTTTTAAATAACTCTTACTTTTTGTCAGCAGTAGTTGAATTATAAATGCCGGCGCTGCAGCATTTAGCTTGCAGGAGGAACGGCAACCCCACACTCACTGATGGTAAACGGTAGCTACGTCCCTCCTTTATTTTAAAAGGAGAAAGAAATGACAACCCCAACAACTGCCTGAAGCCTAGTCCACACTGGAGGGATCAGCAGTGTGGAACGGCAACAGAACGTCACTGCTTCTAATAGAATACTCTTCCGGACCATGGGCTCTAGGAAGAACAATAAATGAATGCTAGTCAATCGGGCTAAGACAATGTTTTCATTATGTGCTACGGATTTCATACATAATGTCAGTGGAGGTTAGTGTTAGGATTATTTAGTTTGTTTTTATTATTTAGCATTGCACATGTTCAAATAAAAGCCTTACATTGCAAAAATGGATGTCAGATCCCGTAAAGCAGAAGCTGATTATGCAGGTGAAATGAGAGGAAGATGTTCTCCTCAAGAGGGGAGATGATTGAAATTTCTATTTGAGATGACCTGGATTTGAAATTTTATATTCTGTAAGTAACTGTCAACAGTGATGTCAAAAAGTGTCTAAATTAAACTCCTGATGAGTTGTGTTACGTGGACTTTTTTCCCCCACACGTAAACAAACAACAACCCAGTGCAGCGGTTCAGTTTAGTGTTTATTTACAGCCAGCAGAGGGATCCGGGGGG